TTCAGTCCGGTCCCTCAGAAGCTGCACCACGTTCTTGTCCACACCACGCCTGTAAAGTGTGATAATTAATATGCCAACTAATTCAAGGCATGTTAGGTTTACACCAATGTTTAGTGTACTCACTTGTCTGTCAGAATAGCAGGGAACATGGCTTGGTGAGCCTCACTAAGTTGACACAGAATGGTGGAATCCCACGCCAACCACCTGCCCACCTTGCCACTGCCACCACCCCTGGCTGCTTTTGTACACGGGCCGCAGCACAGGACCTCTGTTATTATACAGTACCAGCTGGATAACAAATGTGAGTGACGAACCTGCAATATATAAAAAATTTTTTTCGTAAAACCCGCAGTGCATTGTTTTATTTGATCTGTAGGTGTATTTACATAATAACAAATCATTTAATTGTTGTATACCAACTGTAATATTAACTAATCTAATAAATAATATGTAATACCTTGGTGTGGTAGCCTGATTTGTAGAGGTACACATTCTTTCCTTGACCCACACATTCTTCTCCTCGAGGACACTTCAGTGAGAATTTCCAAACTCCAACGGGCCGCCACACAAAGATGCGACCCCGAAAGAAGAGATGTGGAGTTGGCACAGTACCACTGATGTAGCCTGGAGGTTCTGGAGGGTAAAACCACATGCGGTCTGATTTTATTACACGCCGCCTCTTCAATACCGCAGCATTGTCGCGATACACCTGAATAGGGCCAAAGAGTCCTCGCTCTGTGTCGTCCTTCACCCAGGAGAGGTCAGCTGGTGGAATGCCGTTGGGATTTTCCCACAGTCGCACCCAGCCCTCCAGCTCGACCTGAAACATGTCAAAACAGAAAACATAATTACATAACAATACATGTGTAATATCACTCCAACTTTTAGCATTTATGTTTAATACATTTGTGTATGTAAATATTACTCACTGGGGAGTCACTCTGTGATGGTTCTACTGGGAAAACACGAGTAAAGGCTGTGGATGAGGACTTCTTTGATGAAGGTGTGGATGAGGACTTCTTTGAAGGTGTGGATGAGGACTTCTTTGATGAAGGTGTGGATGAGGACTTCTTTGAAGGTGTGGATGAGGACTTCTTTGAAGGTGTGGATGAGGACTTCTTTGAAGGTGTGGATGAGGACTTCTTTGAAGGTGTGGATGAGGACTTCTTTGAAGGTGTGGATGAGGACTTCTTTGAAGGTGTGGATGAGGACTTCTTTGAAGGTGTGGATGAGGACTTCTTTGAAGGTGTGGATGAGGACTTCTTTGAAGGTGTGGATGAGGACTTCTTTGAAGGTGTGGATGAGGACTTCTTTGAAGGTGTGGATGAGGACTTCTTTGAAGGTGTGGATGTGGCTGCGGATGACGCTGTGGCTGCCGCTGGGGCTGCTGATGATGCTGTGGACGAGGAGGATTGTGTGTATGTAGTTGTGAATGAGGATGATGCTGTGGAAGCCGTGGACTCCGATTCGATCACCTCCAATAAGTTACAAAGACAAAAAAAATAATAGACTACACAGCGATAACAACCATATACTTCTATAAATATTCAGAGAGATTATTTGCTATCAGCATCTTTTTTAAATTATGACTTCTGTAAAAAACTTTATATAGAATACGCTTACTACTTCATGTAGCCCACATCATTTGACACAAGCCAGGGAAATGGGGCATTGAGATATTGGCCCAAGGGTAGCACCAGCTTCCCCAGACACTGCTGTCGTGATGGTACTGCAATGCCTTCAGCACGAAGGGCCCTTTGGGCATGGGGTAGGGCAGTGGACTCATTGAGCAGCTGATCAGGGGGTAGAGGAAAATTCATTCTTCTGTCTCTGTAGGCACGGGCCTCATTTGTCGCCACCAATAAAGCCTGCTGACGACCCGGTGGAGCATTGGGGTTTTGGAGACGGATAACTGGCTTCGCCATATCAAGGTACACTGAAAAAAAAAAAAACAACAACATTGAAGGTGACAATATTTTACTCATAGTAATAACAACTCATAACAGTAAGATTTCAATTTTTTTCACCAGCTAATTAGCAATATATTGCCTTTCAAGCCTCATAAATCTCACAAACATAACAATTAATATTCATGTGCAAAGATAAATTACAGGTGGTCATTGAAGGTGACAATATTGTACTCCTAATAATAACTCATTACAGTAAGATTTCTATTTTTTTTCACCAGCTAATTAGCATTATATTGCCTTTCGAGTCTCATAAATCTCACAAACATCACAATTGATATTCATGTGCAAAGATAAATTACAGGTGGTCATTGCAGTTATT